TAAAATTATTTTTATTGTATTATTATTATTTGTATTATTATTTTATTATCATTCTACGTGACTTTACCGAAAGAACCAAAGAAGAAGGCATGCACTTATTTTATTTGAATATCAGTTCGATTATTAAAGATCGGGAAAGCCTGCAACATTTAGCTATAAAACGTACAAACGCGTTCCAGAGAGATGGAAATGCGAAAACTCCACACGGGCTGGCAGCGAATTCCACCGCGGGTTTTTTGTAACTGCAGGCGACGTTCACGCGACGATTCATTACAGTGGGGAAGTGGCGACAATGTCCAACGCACTGCAGAGATCTTCCTCAGATCCGCTCTCCTGACGAGGAGGAGGAGGCCGCACGGGATTTTCTTGGCTGAAAAAAACAAAACCTTGAGATGGAACCGGCAGCACGCCTGGCCTGGAGTCACGGGCACGTCACGTTCCTCGTGTAAAGTGCGATCCCCACACGCGCGCGGGTCACTGACTGGTGAATGTAGCCACGAGAGTCGATGCAGAACAGTGCGAAGGTCTCCTCCCGTCGCTTGCTCACCACCCGCTTCTCATGCCAGGGCGCGCTTTGAGCGAGCGAGCGAGCGACCGATTCATCTTCGCGCGGCCAAGATGAATTGTTTTCACTCTCCTCACTGTTGTCGAGAACGCGTGGCGATTAACCAGCGACAAGCAGCACTTTGAGAGTTGTAATAGGTGGGAATGAATGTTTGGTCAATTGCAGCGGGCTGTGACAACTTGGGGAGTTGCAGGCGGCGAGGTGGATTGTGAGAGGTGTCGGCAGCTTGGGGAGCTTTCAGCGATTGACCACGGCTGCTGGTGATGGGGACTTGGGAAACGAGACGACGGGAGGGAATTCCAAAGCGGAGCAGTGCGAGGGAAGACGCAGAACTGGAAGTGTGGGTGAGCCGCAACGTGGTGGCGGTTGCACACACAGCGTGGATGAGACGAAGCGGTCAGTGTCTGGTCGACCGAGTCGACGGTACGGGTGGAGGGATCGATGAGCGGTGTTCATGAGTAAGTAAAACATTTGTTAGTGCGCTCTCTTACGAGTCCAGTCCATCATGAATGCGGTAGCCAGAGCAGTAGCCAGGGTAGTAGCAACAGAAGAGTGATGAAGGGGCGATGGACTGCCGATCTAGAACGCGGCGCGGCTGGAATGACCACCTCGTCACAGTACAGGTCTCGTCTTTATTAGATAAAACAGACACCCTAAGTATTGTTTTTTACAGAGACATCGAGAGCCAGCACGTCCACTCGGGCCCACTCCGCTGTGCCGATGGGAATGCTGCGTTATTTACATCAACATTTACAAAGCACTCGCACGAACACAACATCCAGAACGATAACTTTGCATGAACAGAACGTTTAGAAATGTATACGACCCTAACACGTGGCTTCGCAAGAGCTTTCTACGCATATCGTAAATGGTCAGCGTCGTTAATTTTTCGCGCTTTTTGCCAAAAAAAAACCACGACGGTTCTCGAAGACGTAAAACATCCCGCTCAAAATAAAAAAAACAAGATATTTAAATTGTAGATGGTTTACGGGTTATCCTAAATACATTTCCTAAAAGGGGTCAAGGGTTACTTGTGTTAGAGCGTTTTGGAAGCCGAACGATGCCCGCACACGCGTGCGCAAAGCTTGCAATAAAAAAAAACTATCCGCAGACATCGCTGTTCTGCAGCATGAATGCGTTATAGTATTTGACAGCGTCCACGATGACACGAGGCCTGCAGTCAGCGTGTATACAGCACAGGTGTGTGGGGATGTGAACGGTGACGCGTACATCGGCAACTCTTTTCCAGGCGAAACTCAACACCGCACACCTGCACAGTTTGTGTGTGTATATATTAACCAAAACGGCAACACGCTACTATGCTAAGCGAAAATGCTTTCCGTGTGATTCGCTATTAAATATAGTGGAAGTGTAGTACATTGAGGTATTCAGAATAATGCTGCTACAGAAATATAACATTGAGAGGGGGTCACGTGGTTGGGAAGGGTCTGTGGCATCACCACGGACGCTGCGGGCGAAAGGCGCCGCTACCACCCTCGGTCACCCGACGGTTTGACGCGGCGCACGAGTTGAGGCCCCACGCCGCCGACAAGCGTCAGCGTGTTCACACATCGGCACGGCTCCGATTGTGATCGTTCCCGTGGCTGCGGCGCGAGGAAGCCGCCTGCCTGGCGACAGTGGCGCGCGTCTTCTGGTTCCGAGCGATCCCCGCGGAGACGGTGGCCGCTCGTCGTCGTCGCTTTGTTCATCGTTCTCCGACTTCCGGACGCACGTTGAGTTTCTGGAAGGTTTGCGAGTCGGCGAGTCCGAGTCTTGTGTGCGCGCGTCGAGAGCACTTCGTATTTTTTGGGCCACCAGACTCAAAGAGGAGCACTCCCGAAATCGCAAGGCGCGATCACGAGCCGTTAACGGTCTGGACCGAAATACTGCTCGACAAAGTATTTTCCATTTTACACGCCCGACCACCAGCACGAAGTACTTGCGTCGTACCGACAGCGATGGACATTGGGTACAGGAGGGACCCTACTGCCTGCGCTGGACAAGACGAGTCGCTTCGTCTACGCTCTGAGATGGGCACAATACTGATGTTTGAAGTACATTTGGCAGTAGAGACGAGCGACCCAAAGGGACTTAACATAAACACGTGAATACTTCACGAGGAGTTCCAGACTGTTTGGTTCGGACCAGGAGATTAACATCTCTCGAATGAAAACAGAGAAAAGCGACTGGTAGGGATTTCCCTACGTGTTTCTCCCCACGGGCGTTCGGCTCGTTCGACACACAGCCAGGCACGAGGTCCGACGTTTCGCTCCAGGTGCCGGCAACATGTTTTTCATCACGTGGAGCAAAACGTCGCATATCGTGCCGAACGTCGTGCGGAATGACACGAAAACGCTTCGGAGAGCTCACAACTCGAGAAACGACGGACAAAACATTCGCACCTCAAGTTGTCCTCTCACGCGAGGTGACTTTGACCGTTCCGATTATTTGTTACCGCTCACAGCAGTTAAGTTCCTTTCTCTCGCAACAGACTCTCGCGCGTGGATAAGGACCCATTGGCCCTGGCGTGCACAATTGGCAGAGCAGTAAATGCTGCATTGTGAGTACAGTATTTGACTCCCAAGAGCACTACACCATAAGAGTTGCTGTTCAGCTTAAGCACCTTTACAAATTTCTTTTTTTAAAGTCCCATGTAACTTTATTTTACGAGAAACAAATATTAACAGATTTTGTTGTTGTTAGCATATTGCTGTTTCATTGAAATGCTGATAAATCGTTAGCGGGGCACGTACGCGTTTATTTATTACTGATGGAAACATAACAGTGCTTTGCCATTCCGTAATACTGTGCGTCTCTCTGACGTGCATCAAATAAGCGTGGTTTCACAACTTATACGCATAAAAAAACCCTGTTTGAAAATAATAACAACAATAATAATTTAAAAAATAAACCGTCCGCCACAATGCCGTCAGACTGGCTCGAGCAAAAACAAATGCAGTTTTCTTTTTCCATCGTCGCAGTACAGTTTTCACTACCAGGGGCACAACGAAAAAGCATAAACTACTCTCTTGCCTCACGAAACGCCGCGCCATCCTCAGCTGGCACCAGCGGCAATTTCCTCGTCGTTTTGTCTTTGGGTCGCGGTCCGTGCCACGACAACGGCCTGTGGAGCTTCAGCCCGAGCCTCGGTCTGCGGATCTCACGCGCAGAAGTTGCCCTCAGCCTGCAGTGGTTGACTAAAGCAGTCGACACATTCAGTTGACTCTTTAGTTTTTCAACGTTGGCGTGAGGACCGTGCAGTTTCCCGGCAATTTTTTTTTTATCTGGTCAGCCAATCAGCTTAAACTCATCGTTTATATATATACATTTACAGTCTGGTAAATGTACCATGTGCGGTCTTCCTCAGTGCACTGCTGTCTCTAAATGACATTGTTAAATGATCACAGCCAAGTGACGCATTGGTCTTTGGTGGGGAGTCATAATCGGCGCCGCGCTTCCATGTTGACTAAAACAAAAACAACAAAAATGCATCGTTGACGAATATTTTTGTTACTAATTTCGCTCGTGACATGATCACCGGCTGGCACATTCTAGCGCAGGGCCACGAGAAGTCTGCGAGTCCCAACACCGGGACGAGATCCTCAAAGGAAACCGAGGGTGGGCCACTTCAGCCAAAGTCACCGCTCCCCCATCGAGATCAACGACGCAACGCCGCCGTTTCGTCTCGTCAATTAGGTTAAAGCTGCGATGGTTTTAAGCGGCAACAAATTCTACAAGTTTTGATTTAAAGCTTTCGTGACTGCAGGGATTCATATTCTTGGTTTTTCGGTAAAGTCACGTAGAAGGGAAACAATAAAATAATAAAAATATAAAACAATACAATTCTCACGACGTTTCGACTGCAACACAAGCAGTCGAAACGTCGTGAGAATTTTATTGTTTGATATTTTTATTATTTTATTGTTTCCCTTCTACGTGGTGACTTTACCGAAAGAACCAAGAATATAAATTCTACAAGGTTATAGACGAACGACGCCACTGACAAAGTATTTAATTGTAAGTAATCGCGGAAGAATATAATATTAAAGCTGCTCGTCCTAATGGCGTGAAATACATTTCAGCAAATGGGTTTATACGAAAGGGACTTTCATCAACGGGTTGTGTGATATGTTAAAAGGTTTCTTTTGTATATTTTATTTCGCCACGGGAGCTGGCAGTGAGGATGTGACGCACATCTTCTCCGCATCGCCTCCAAGCCGGAGGGGTCCGTGCCATCGTTTGTGTGCCAAAGCAATCTTGGCACAGCCCTTGCATTTAGTTGGTTCGAACTTGCGCCTTTCAGGATCCTAAACAGACCCGACAAACATGATGGACTATAAATCTCTTTGTGAAATGAAAGGGAGTGCGCTCAAGGCAGGACTTCTCGCAGTGCGAGAGTACCCGACTATTAATGTGGAGGCATTGCGACTCTTTAATTCGTATCTTCAATGTGCTACGCTGTATACATTTACGGGGGTTGAAACATCAGTAAACTTGATCTGCAAAAAAACATTCTCGGCCGCGTGTCTTTTTTAACGCCCTCCACTTTTACGGCTCCGGATTTTATTTTTTCTTGAATTATTCCAACACGCGACCCAATCACCGTTCCGCCGCTAACTTTACTTCAAACGAGACCGAGATGAAGAAGGACCTTGAGATTCAAGGCACTCTCGCTTGAGCAGGGTGCGAGGGAGCTCGAGAGTTCGGCAACGGCGGGCGGGGAGCAGACGGACGTTTATCTCGACAATTTGCCTTCTGCGTATCTTTCAAGAGTGCTATCACCTTTTGTCTCAGCCAGCGTTAATGTAACGTACAAACATGACAAAGGAGACAGGTAAATGCCTTCGCTCTCTAATAATGGACACAGCAGCTTTAATGAGATGTTTCATGGATGCGTGATGATTGTTTTCTCTGACGACTTGAACCTAATTCCTGAGTGAGATGAGCTGTACCCAAAGGTCGGTCCCCCCCCCCCTTGTACTCAGTAGTGGCTCTGATTTTTCCTGATTTATGTTTCAGAATTTTTGTCTAAATTTTCAGCTTCACTTATTTTCCTGGAATGTTAAAACAAAATCAAGTAATGCCATTTTTCAGGTAAATTGTGCAAATTTAAGAAACGGGCGAGTGTGGGCTAGCTTCAGATAACACTTCTCGCAGAGCTCATCTTCTACCCATGAGCAGTGGCGATCCCATCTCTCGATACCATCAGTGGTTTGGTGAGCACCGTGTTTGTGCTAAAAACAGGAGACACACACACACACACATTTTTTTACAGGTTTTTTTGTTTGTTATCCCGGTCGTCTCGCTAAAGTGTTATTCGCGCCGTGATTCAAACTCCTATTTCCATTGGCAAGGCACCCTGGAGCCCGGACACAATCACAGAGTTCATGTCGGCAGTTCTCGTGCGGTACGTCCGTGGGATTCCTCGGTCTTCCTTCACACCTGCCCTCAGCCCCCGTCGCCGCTAACCGAAGAAGGGATCCTCTCCGTCGTGCGCGAGGCCCTCGGGCACCAGCTGGTCGGAGTGCGCGTCCTGCCCGCAGCCCGGCTCTCTGGCCGCGACGGCCGCCGCCGCCGAGAAGTCGCAGGCGAACCACGGGTGGTGGAGGATGTCGCGCGCCGAGAGCCGCTCGCTCGGGTCCCTGCGCAGCAGGTCGCGGATGAGGCAGCGCGCCTTGGGCGACAGCGCCTCGGGGAGCGCGTACTGGCCGCGGCGGATGCGCGCGAAAAGCGCCGTGGGCTCGCTCTCGTGGAAGGGGTACTGGCCCACGAGCATGGTGTAGAGCATCACGCCCAGGCTCCACACGTCGGCCGCGCGGCCCGAGTAGCGGCCCGACGAGCCGCCGGCCGTCAGGATCTCCGGGCTCACGTAGGCCGGGCAGCCCACCTTCTCGGCCAGCGAGTCGTCGTCGCTGTGCAGCACGCACACGTCCTCCAGGCCCTCGAGTCGCAAGCGCATCCTGCGGACGCGCGCGCGTGCACACGTGAGGCTTTCGTTATAAATAGGTAACCTTTTTTTGGCGTCGTTTGTTTTTTAGCTTAGCGCGTGATATCGGACGTGAATTTTTTTCGGGCTAGGGCCTCGTAAATGATCTGGCCGAATTGTTGATGTGAAACCCTCCACCACCCGACAGAGCCAAACAAAATGTACGGGCCACGTGGTGTACAAGCGTTTAACGTGCAAATTATCATTGTGTCTCGAATGGTCTTCCTTCCGAAATTACAAAGCCACAGGAGCTATGCACTTTTAAATCTAAATTTAAAACCCATTTCTTTAGAACTGCTTTTTGTGTTTAGTTTGTTGCTCATCCCCCGCACCACCGATTAGCACGGTTGGCTACGTACGGTGCGAAAGAAGTTCAACATACAGTACTGTATATATGTGTCAGCTCCTTCACTGGTGAGTTGAAACACAATTTTCACAGCCATATTCATGTTTTTGCTAAATTTGGTTGAAAAGAGTGAAATGTTCCGAGCGAAATGCTTTTCAAGGTTTCAAACAATGCAGACGAGGTCAGTAAGCGGACGAGGAGCGGCAAAAAGAAACGTTGAGGTCATCGTGAACAAAAAACATCGAAAAATAAATAAATAACGCGTGAAAGCCAAAGGGCAAATGGTGAAAAACAAAACATCGTTTGGAATGACCTCAACAATGACGCAGAGTGATAATAAAGTATTAAAGCTTTCGTGACTGCATAAAATTACTCATTGGTTTTTTCGGTAAAGTGACGTATGTAGAAAAACAATAAAATTATATTAAAACAAAAAAAACACTCTTCTGAAATTCGTGGTCCGCCAGGAAGTGTCTAACTTTGTTGTTGGCCTGACTGGATGTGCTTCACATAATGTTTTTTCAGGTTTGTTGAATTCTCGTCTCTCATCTTTTTGTTGTATTTACCTCCGTGATCTGTTCTTGACACCTGATGAAGATCGCTTGCGTTGTGATCGAAACGTCGTGATTGTTTTTTGTTTTAATATAATTTTATTGTATTTCTACATACGTGACTTTACCGAAAAAAACAATGAGTAATGACGCAGAGGTCGACGAGTGGATCAGTTATTAATGTGTGTGTGCAACTCAAGTGTGATTCAACATCTTGCCAGGATCTCATCTCTATTCCTCACCTGAAATAAGCCGTCAATAAGTCAGTACTCTTGGTATTAACGCCATTCTTACAGTACAAGACTGTGTTTTACTTACAGATATAGTCTACCAGTCGGTGCAAATGATGATATGTGGTTTTGTCCCAATTAAATACTTTGCGGGTAACTTTTGAAATTTGGAAAATTTGGACCTTGACATTCATTGCCTATTCCCTTTTACCAACGTCGCGGGATCTTGAACATCCACAGTGAAGGGGACGTGTGCTATGCCTAATACCCCCACGCGCTTAACCGGGGCGGTCGCTGGGCTCGAACCACGATTCCACCGCGACAGACAGCAAACGCGCTGCTGCTCGGCCGCGTCACCGCCCCAAAACACATTATCATCTGCCGCTCGGCACAACCTTTTTTAAAAGACGGGACGTGTTTGATCGTCAGTTAACACGTTGGCTTTCGCGACCGATATCATCCATAATAGAGGTTCCATAAGAGAAGGACAAGTTCCAAGGGCTCGCATAATGCGCATGATGCATAATGTCTCATTAATCCCCCCCCCCACCCCACACTTTTCGCAAGAGCGCAGAAGCGTGATCACCACATCTACGCCTCTATATAAGGAACGAAATAAGTGGACCTCTCCACAAACCTGGCTGTCGCCTGATGAAGCCAGTTGTAATTACTGGCGAAACGTCGTACTCAGATTGTAAATGTTGTGGCATGGCTCTCCAACACATCGGTGTGCTGTACTAGTGACGAATTGGCCACGTTCTGTATACGTGACAACCCTTACTAGTTGGCTGTGTCGGGTGGTGGCGGGTTTAACGACACATTCATATAGTTACGCGATCTAAACCAAAAATAAAAAAACCCTCTATTATGGTGTTTGATCGTGCAAGTTTAACAAATATGTGCAGGCAGTTAGAGGTGATACCCCCTTCTAAGTGATTTGTGTGACATCTGTAGCAATGAGCATGGAAGAGTAGGCCAAAAACCCCCTTGAGGTGCTCTCCAGTGGAGGCCATTCTGTCAGCAGTGGCGTGAGCGAGCTCTCGCAGGGCTGCACCTTTGCTACCTGTTGCACAGCAATGGCTTCGAGAGCAATTCCACCGCAAATTAATTTTGCCGAATTAACTTAGCGGGTGGCGAAAGAGGCGACAGTCGGATTTCACACAAAAGATCCCGGCTCTCCACAACAGCGCCAGGAGTGAAGCGCGCGAAGCGAAATTGCAAAGTGGTTGGCAGTGGCCCGAGGACGTGCCAAGATTCACAATCCATGCCTGGGCGCACTTTACCCAAACCGTTTTGAAAATGTTACATAAACATTTCGTGAAACCGGCAAGGATTTCCAGATTTCTGGCCCCACGCACGATGCCCCAGGACTGCACTCTTAGGCATCGCACGTCGCAAATGTGGAAAAGGGCGATATTTCTCGAGGGATGCTCTTTTGCCGAGAGACGAACAAAGGAGTGATTATTTCCCGTCCGTGACCACCCCCTCTGTCTCTTCGCCGTCATTTCAAGGGGACACCTTTGTTTGCTCTTCGATTCGGTCCCGTGCGTCGCTGCAATACGACAAACATGCGTTCGCGCGATCCTGCGTTCGCCATCATGTCATTTCAATGCGTGACACACGCGGGGTGAGATGGAACGTGACGACCTTGCAGTAGCCCCATCGCGAGGCCCTTGCCGTACGTGAAGGAGACCCGCTAATCTAATGGCAACGTGCAGTACACCGCAGGACATGCCGATTTGAGAACCAGGGGAAGCTTTGTCAACCACAAACCCCTACAATAAACCGCAGGCGGCCTGCGAAGGAGGGCGCCTCACATCCCCGAGAGAGAGACGGCACGCCGAGCCGGTGGCTTTCCCCGCAGCGCCTGGCCCCTCGCTCGGCGAGCTGACGGCGCTCCTCTCGCGTGCGTCGGCAGCGCCGCTGCGCCACGGCCAAAGCTCCTTCGCTCGCTCCCTCGCTCGCTCTCAGCACCGCGCTCGGCCGAATCCCAGCATGTGCATCCGCTGTACAAACTCCGCGTGGCATTTTAGTAATAATAATAATGCCGGGCTCCTGAGCCGTTCGTTTTTTTGTTTGCTTTCCCCCGAGGCACGTGTTTGCACTTAAGTCTCGGTGGCGCAGGCACAGTTATACAAGGCGGTACAGTAATTGCTCGCCAGTAGCCAAAGGGAGCGCACGCACAGGAAAGCCTCTTTGCCTCACCACAGGGTGAAGGTCATCAGTTTCCAGGGCTCAGCCGCCTGCACTCGCTATCTGATTGGCTGGCTGCAAGCTCGCTCGACACTCACATTTTCCATCGCCCGCTACCCTACATGGCAATCCAGTCCAGTCCGGTACAACCTGGCTCCGGGGCTCTCGAACGCGGCACACGAGGTCCGCGCGTTTCTCATTTTGTCGCCGTCGTCAAGTCCCGCTCGCGTTTCGGGGAAGCACGTCGGATGAAGGTCGCCCCTTGCCGTTTGTCGTGATCGCGGCCGCCGGGGCACGGCCGCGCATCTCGGCGACTCCGAGGAGGCGCGCGAGGGCCCTGCGTCGCCTTCGAACAAAATAAATGGGGGCCGCGTGGCATTGCTGAATTCAAGTTCAAAGTTTCGAGCGAGCGCAGCAACGAGAGCGGTCTTCGTTCTCCGGCTTCCCCCCCCCCCCTTTTTTTACGAGCCCCGGAGAATCACCCAGGATCAACTTAGTACGTCGCTTCTCTCCACCCAGCGCGATTCCCAATGCGCACGTCAAAAACGCCAAAGCAATCGGCTCATCCTGTACCTGACCGGTTGCCTTGATTTGCTCTTCAGAAATCTGCTGTGGCAGCTGTTACACAATGTGCCGGTTCAGGGTGCAGGGCGGCGATGGCGGCACCCACGTGGTAGGGCATTAACAAAGTGCTGGGCAGAGTTGGTAAGCCTCTTCCCATCAGCTGATTTCAGCAATCAATTACCTAAGGCTTTTTATTCCTATGCCCATGTGTGCATCAGAGTAAGTCTTTGAGAAAACCCAGCATTATGCTAATCTCTCGAGTTGGCCTGTTTCTCCGTTGAGTCATTTCCTGCATAGCTTGGCGAGCAAAGCAATACGCGAGAACATCTGCTGGCCAAACACATTCCTTATCAAGCACGCTGCCAAGTCGCTCTTAAAGGGAATTGGGCACAGCAGCAGAGCTCAGGGAGACCAGTCTAGTACAGAAGAGATATTCAACCAAATTTTCATGTTTGCTGCAGCTGGAATTTTTTTCCCGCTTCGGTGCCAAATGAATGCGCAACAGTTTGAAATGTAACCCACAGCTGTCAACAATGCATAACGTGTCTGCAGGGATGACCTCATAAACCAGGACCACACACAGACACGGCAGTGACGACGCTGTAAACATTTGTCTCAGCTGTGCCACCTGGTCAAGGAACTGGGAAAACAAACATGCAAGGCCATGTATAGCAAGCGAGCCACCGAGCGTGCGAATGACGTCAAGTGAACAGCGGCACGATTAACTAAAAAATATACCCCAGCTCAGAGGTCAGAAGGCTGAGGTCAGAACGCTGAGCTGGCACTGCTGAGACCCTTGGTTCGAATCTGGGTTTCAGCCACCTGTGAGTGACCTGGGTTCTCTAGTTTTTGATTGATGGTTCTCGACCGGTCACCAATGGTTGCACACACACACACAAAATCGTGACCTTAAATTTAGTTCTGCACTTATTTGGATAAGTTCTGGCTCTGAGACGTAAAGATATCAGATGTCAATGGCTGGTGGGAAAGTGTGTGGACCAGAGGTCACCTGAAGGTATCTCGGAGGTAGCTCTAAGATATCCACTTTTCTCATGAATTTACACCGAAAGCACATTCGGTAAAAAAGCTGGGGAACTACACATGGATCAGTGACGCTTTCCAAAATGCGTTTGTTCTTGTGTTTCATGAGTGAAATTACACCATCGCAAATAATCACGTCATCAACAGTGGAGGTGAGCGCATGGCACGTGATGCCGTTAGATGACGCGCACACCGTGAACCCGCTGACCCGCTGTCGCCACGATTCATCACGAGAAATACCTTGACCTCGTGTTACAGACGGACAGAGCTGTACGAAATCAGCGCCCTCATCCCGAGTAGGCAAGCAGCAGTGAGACAAAGAGGGGCGGTGGGGGCGCTCCTCACCGGTCCTCATCACGGAAGACGAACTTGCGTAGCTTGAGGTCGCGCAGGACGATGCCGTGCTGGTGGCAGTGATCGACGGCCGACACGGCCTGGTGGAAGAGGCGCGCCGCCTCCTCCTCGGGCAGCCGCTTGCAAGCGCGCACGTGCGAGTGGAGGTCGCCGCAGCCGCGCTCCAGGAAGGCGTATGCCCAGTGCTCGCCCAGCAGCACCTCGTCCACGCACGCCACGCTCTCGTGCGGCGGAATCCTGAAGTAGGCCGCCAGCGAGTCGCGGTAGCTCGCCACGTCGAAAACCTGGACGCAGAAGTACGGCGCAACGGTCAACGACGCCGCTCTATATCCATGGGACCTTTTTTTGCGAGTGTCAAAATTATGGAGGGGGGGGGGGGTGGGGAAGAAGAATAGGCTTTACCTTTTCTGTCAATAAAACAGTTGTGTTAAGATGTTCAAATAGATAACTGCCCCCTGGTGCCCACCACGTGGTCCCGCGGCAGTCTGTGGCGCCTGGTGAAGCGTGGAGGTCGCCCACCCGGGCACTATCCCTGCTTTAAATAACACACGCTAATACGGTGCGTATTAAAAACACGCGCTAAGAGCTCACCTTTTGGTAATTTAAAAATGGAAAAAGGCTAATTCACATGAATGAAGTTGGTTATGAGATGCTCTGTGATGCTGGCTTCAATTATGCACCATCACGCGAGCAGAGGCCACCACATTTAGAAACAAGGCAAAGGTGGAGCCCTGCGATTATTCCCACCACTGCCAGTGGAAGGGCCTCCACTAGAGGGAGCTCTCGTGAGCTTCTCTAGAGGTTACAAGACCAACTATTCCACACTGAAGGGTACCCACACTGCTCCCCACCACACGTGGCTTTCCAATCGACTGCGGTGCATCCATTGACACTGCTGGGGCTGGGCGGACCAGAGGCACTGCGGGGGATTGAGGCTGCAGCCTTGTTTCACCTGCCGTGCCAGGAGATCGAACCGGTGACCTCTGCATTGCGAGTCCAGTGCTCTGTTAGCCGTTACCCTGCGGCAGCATCCCCCGATGTGTTTAGCCTCTCTAAACGCCGCTTCCGCGGGGCACAGCATTTCGGTGGTAATTACTGTTCATCACGGGTTGCCAAATCGGGCTTAAATAGAACCAGAGCACGTTGGCTGCGCGGAGAGAGAGTCAGCCACCATCGTGCACTTAGAGCCGCAGCGAGGCGAGTGTAAGGGGCAGATGCGCGAGCAGGTTCCTGACAGGCTGTCTGAATATCCGAGCCAGTCTTATCTGTATGCGTGGGGTTTTCTCTCCCCGACAAGTCGTTTCCTCCCACGCGTAAAGCTATTCGAAAAGGAATTTCACAAACAACCGAAAGCAGGATCGTTCTAAAAAAAAAAAAAACCCAACCAACAGTCTCGAGACTCGCTGAGGCTTTCCCAAGTAAACAAAGAAGTATTATTCATATTGATGAGTCACGACAAAAAGAGTTTCACGGAATGAAAACCCGAAGTCATGTAACATTTAAGTGTTACATAACCCCTATAGACTGGGCAAACTTGGCACGTGCGCAGCTGCCGATAAGAGGTGCTTAACCCACGGTCCGGTGGGGGTCACGGTTCATCTTGGTGCCCAGAGGTTGCGGGCGAGCTCGGGGGTTTTGGCGAAGGCTGCACTCGGCGCACGACCGGCAGGATTACCTGGAGCTCGATAACCAGCGGCCGCATCAAGGGCGCGCACCTGAATCCCATAGCGTGCACCAAAATGCCTTGAGGCTCTGGCGAGGCGTGAGTTATTAATAACGCTGCGGCGGAGAGAAGACGCAAGCCGTGCTACTCATGCGGAATTGTCGTGACATGGCACTTGGCTTAGCGATGGGCTTACAAACGTTTCGGTCCGACTTGAATGACTGCGAGATTGCGCAGTGCCACGTCAGATGCCGCGAGCGTAACGCACTGTGTTAATGTTTTTTTTAAAAAAAGCTCAGCACGTTCGTCAGTAACATTGCCGTACAAGGATATATATATACACATGTACAAAATAGGTGACGATTCGGGCAATGGACCACCATCATAGCAGAGAGAAAGGCCACTGCCCAAAATCATCTGACAGTATCATGTTTTCCTATTTAGGGCAGCGCTATGGGTGAATGTGCTGAGCTTTTGTTATGTGTGCTTGTGAACCAGTATCAGGAAAAATAAATGGGTATGATTTTTTCGTATTTGTTTAAGCAGTCGCCAATTGGGGCTGGACCTTAACATTTTAGTACTTACGCAGGGGCACAGTGTCGCTTTTACACGTTTTGAAAAGCGTACAATGCAGGGCACGTGTTATTTTTGCTAAATTGTACAAAAAAACCCAGGGAAGAAAGGTTTTATTTTATTATTGCAAGCGTGAAATGTCACAACGGACCAAAAAATAAATGAGGGGTTAGACTTTGGGGTGGAAGTAGATCAAACACCTACTCCAAAAAGCATGCCAGGAATGTGAAAAACAATAACCACATTCTTAAAGATGAATTGCAAAGGCAACTGGAACCTGCCCTCCTATTTTATTATGAGAAATGCAGGCACTACAGGGAAATGTGGTATGACTCCATTTCAAATGTCAAACAGCTGGGCACCTGGAAAATGTAACCGTCAAAACATAATTTGGAAACTTGGAAAATAAAAGAATTGAAACTTCCATCGTTGAAGCCTTGGACAAATGACGCGGTGTGGCATGTATGCCTTTGCAGTTCCTTTCGCAATGTTCCTACTGTATGGATACAATGGCACGGCTGAGCAGGACATGAGAGTGTGCAATTGGCACAACTGAAATGCAAATGTGCCCTGTGACGTTTGTGATACAATACTTCCCGAGATACAATACTTCCCGAGATAATTCCACCCGAATGTATAATTATGGCAGAAGCACTCTGAAGTCACTGGCTATTAATACAAAGTGCGCCTTTTGTGCTTGCAAACACGACCTTACTAAATCCGTGCTTCAGAATGTTCATTTTGTGAATTGTGCCAAATTACAATATGATTTTGGTTACCGGCCGTTGTTCATTTGGAGCATTAACTCCTTAAAAAAGTTAAAATTCAATATGCTATAGTTACTGTATTACCAAATGCCAAAACTGAACATTGCCGGCTTTATTTGGCACTGAAATTCAGCAGCCTGCAAACCGATCCTTGGCTTCCAACGTGCGGCTGCCACAACCGCTTAACAAGGTCTGCGTTTCCCAATAATGAACGACGAACACGCAAGGCGCTCGCATCAATAAGCAGGCGGCTGGCCAGCCCAGGGAACACCAAAGACAATGCATTGGCTTAGAACGTCTTCAACACACACGCAGCCGTTTCCTCGACACAAGGGGCGTTCGGCGCTGGCAGTCCCTAACGACAGTGGTGCTAAATATGTACGTACGCTATATGTGTGAGTGAATGCATGCTCGTTTGTTTTTGCAACGGTTAGCATGCTGCACTACAAACCCGTCGACCCGAGTTCGATTCCTGCTCACAGCCAACAGCAATGACGAATGTCTGAATCTGTCCTGGGCCTCCCCTCTGTAGACTCAGCCTCAAATGAGTACCTGGTGCGGTGTGTAAATATCAACCCATGGGGAGACAAAGGCGGCCGGGCGTGGCATTGGCCATTCACCCCTCATGTGCCATGCCGACTTTCGTAGGTGCTCACCAACAGCACATTGCCCCAACAGTATATCAAAGGCCATACGGGGAATCTTTGTGCGTGTGTCAGTGTCCAGTAAAGCTCAATGTCACGCCTACGGTGCCTGGACACACCGTGTGAGTGCCGTGCCACTGGAACGCGCTGCCACAGCGAGAGACTCGCTCGCCCGCTCCGCCGTGCATCCAGGGACATTGAACGCCGTGACGCACCACGCGGAGTCCACATTCATCTCAGCGGATTCTGCTTACCCGATTACATTAGCAACACCGTGTGACATTTGGAGCTGATGACCTTTGTAAGTGATTCTACACAAGTAAAAGGTGAAAGGGTAAAGGTGCAGCCCTGCATTTGCTCGCTTTGGGGGGCGGGGCCTCGACTGGAGAGCACTCTGAAGAGCCCCTCAAGCACAAGTTCGTTAAATGTGGGCACGCACGAATTCGTTAAGCCGATCTAAAAACAGGATTTCCTTTTTGTACTGTTGCCAAGTGGAAAATGGCGGTTCCTTTGCTTGTAATGTTTTTTTGTAATTTAGCTGAAGCATTTCATTATTTTGTTGTCCTTCCCCCGCACCTATGATTAGCGCAGTTGGCTACGCACGGTGCTACATACGTAGCAATAGAATTACAATTATAACATATTTCTGCTTTAAAACTCTGCACTGTGATAAGATCTTCCCGGCAAGGATGTAGCAACTGGTGGCACCACTGCTGGCTATCCTCGCAAAAACTGCAAGAACCGACCCTGTCTAAAATAGTGATCAATATTAAATCTACAACTTCGTGATGACCACTTGGTACCTGCAAGATGAACGGGCAGGGTTGCCAGACAAAGAGACAGACGTGTAGACACCCAGACACAAACATGGACACACACATGGACACCCAGATTTATACACCAAGACACAAAGATGGATAGACACATAGGACCATATTTACATCTCAGCTAAAATGCATCGGTCGTGATGATTTGCTTGATTGTTGGTGATGGAGCCATCGCAAACTAATGAATCAAAGCTGCAATTGAAGATTTTAATGAAATGAGCTTGGGCAGGAGGCGTCACGAGAAGGCATGTAGACCAATGGCCCCGATTAGCAACGGAGTTGCAACCATCAAGGACTGGTACGCGTCAAAGGTGACAACCACCAGACGAGAGATGGAGCAATGAAATCAGCTCGTATGCCGGTGCTCTTTGGATCATTACATCGTAGGATTGTGAAAAATTGCTACTGCTTAGGGAGACCTGAATCCAGCAGTGGATTGATCGCATCTGATGATGATGACTGTTGGTAGGAAAACAGTTTGGCACTTCCTAAATGAGTATCTGTGTGCACCACCAGCACAGTGAGAAGACACACCTGGTGAAACACTGAGTGTCTGTGTGCACCACCATCACGTGACAAGACACACCTGGTGACACACTGAGTGTCTGTGTGCACCACCATCACGTGACAAGACACACCTGGTGACACACTGAGTGTCTGTGTGCACCACCACCACGTGACAAGACACACCTGGTGACACACTGAGTGTCTGTGTGCACCACCACCACGTGACAAGACACACCTGGTGACACACTGAGTGTCTGTGTGCACCACCACCACGTGACAAGACACACCTGGTGACACACTGAGTGTCTGGGTGCTCCACCACCACGTGACAAGACACACCTGGCGACACACTGAGTGTCTGGGTGCTCCACCACCACGTGACAAGACACACCTGGTGACACACTGAGTGTCTGTGTGCACCACCACCACGTGACAAGACACACCTGGTGACACACTGAGTGTCTGGGTGCTCCACCACCACGTGACAAGACACACCTGGTGACACACTGAGTGTCTGTGTGCACCACCATCACGTGACAAGACACACCTGGTGACACACTGAGTGTCTGTGTGCACCACCATCACGTGACAAGACACACCTGGTGACACACTGAGTGTCTGTGTGCACCACCAGCACAGTGAGAAGACACACCTGGTGACACACTGAGTGTCTGTGTGCACCACCATCACGTAACAAGACACACCTGGTGACACACTGAGTGTCTGTGTGCACCACCACCACGTGACAAGACACACCTGGCGACACACTGAGTGTCTGTGTGCACCACCACCACGTGACAAGACACACCTGGCGACACACTGAGTGTCTGGGTGCTCCACCACCACGTGACAAGACACACCTGGTGACACACTGAGTGTCTGTGTGCACCACCAGCACAGTGAGAAGACACACCTGGTGACACACTGAGTGTCTGTGTGCACCACCATCACGTGACAAGACACACCTGGCGACACACTGAGTGTCTGTGTGCACCACCATCACGTGACAAGACACACCTGGCGACACACTGAGTGTCTGTGTGCACCACCACCACGTGACAAGACACACCTGGCGACACACTGAGTGTCTGTGTGCACCACCACCACGTGACAAGACACACCTGGCGACACACCGCGCGTACACGGCGACCCAAACAGCACCGAGACAGACGCGCCGTGACCGCCGCACCTTGCAGACGAGCTCCCTGCCCGTGTGCGTGTTCACCGCCCTCAGCATCCTCTGTCCCTCCAGCGGCTCGAGCAGCACGTAGTGGCCGATGCGCGATGCGCAGACGAAGGCGCCCGGGGTGCCCGGCGGCGTGGGCGAGCCGAGGCTGCCGGGGAACGGACCGGGGCTCAGCGCCGCCTGAGAGGAGGAGGAGGACCCCTGCTGCTCGGAGGAGCTGCGCCGAGCCCAGCCGCCAGCGCCGGGAGGCGGCCCCGAATCGTCGGCCGGGTCTCCGCCGTGGGTCTTGTGGCGCGCGTGGGGACCCGGGCGGGCGATGGCGATGGGCAGGGAGCGCTGCACGTTCATCTTGCCCACTGGGAGGAGACGCGGGGAGACCCCAGAGGAGGTCTGGCGTGCAAGGGGACAGAGAGACAGAGGGTTAAGAGTGGGGTGATGTGTGGTGGATTATAATGTGTGTCCCCTCGCCGAGCCGTGAGTTCACACCCGGCACTGTGCATTCCTGCCACACTGCGCGCTTTGGAAACCATCGAGGAATTCAGTTCTCATACCCCCCCCCCCCCAGAGTAGATGTGCTCCGCTGGTCAGTAAAGCTGTCTTAAGATAATAGCCAAGCTTGTTTTTATAATGTGTAAAGAGGTAAAGGTGCAGGCATGCAATTGCTTGCTCACGCCGCTGTGGGAGGATGCGCCTCCACACTCGATGGATCTCTCGAGAGCTCACAGAGACGGAGTGTCGGCCTCCTTTCGGGAGAGGCACACGTCCCCACACTCGTTCCACCACAAGCGACCTGCCGACCACTAAACATGGTATCGTTTACAGTCCTTTCTTCATCCTCAACTGGATAAAGACCCCCTTATACACTGTCGGTCATAGGGTTTACTCGACCATACTTCACCCAGCTCGTCAGTCCGGGCAGGTGTAGACAGAGAGAGAGAGAATGCGCTAAGGATCAGAACTCACTCGGCACCGATGAAATCCGTGCGCGGGAATCGAACGAGGGCAGATCAGGCGATTTAACGAGCAGTGCGCTAACTGCTGCGCCACCGCTCGCCACCTCCGAGATTTGTATAACGCGACAATAATTGAACGAAGCGGCGCTCATGCCATCGGACGCATTCGTGAATTGTCTACAATTGTCTACACACAGTCGCGGTGTGCGCACGCGTGTGCTGCGTGTGTCAGAGATGCGCTGTTGATATACCAGGGACGCGAGAGCGCGTGGAGGCGACACGTCAGCACTGGGCTACCCTGCACGAGCTGCTAGGCTAGAGCGGGCATTGTTCTGGCCAGACGGCAGCCAAAGAGAAACAACCACGGCTGGGCATCGCTACCCTTGCCTACTACAGCACCGGTCCATGTGCACGAGTCGTGGTGTTGTTGGTGTGCATGTGGAGGTGTGTGCTCATCGTACGAACGGCAAGTCAAGACGAACACAATGGACAATCATAGGTGTGCATTGTGTGTGTGTGTACCACTGTCTGTGTGTGTGTTCTGCATTTACTATACACACACCGCCACAATACATACGAGCATCGTGTGTATAGCGTGCACACCAACACACACACACCGTGCACACCAACACACACACACACATCGTGCACACCAACACACACACCGTGCACACCAACACACACACACCGTGCACACCAATACACACCGTGCACACCAACACACGCACACACCGTGCACACCAACACACACACACCGTGCACACCAACACACACACCGTGCACACCAACACACACCGTGCACACCAACACACACACACTGTGCACACCAACACACACACACACCGTGCGCATCAACACACACCGTTCACACCAACACACACACACCGTGCACACCAACACACACACCGTGCACACCAACACACACACCGTGCACACCAACACACACACACCGTGCACACCAACACACACACCGTGCACACCAACACACACACACACCGTGCACACCAACACACACCGTGCGCACCAACACACACCGTTCACACCAACACACACACACCGTGCACACCAAACACACACACCGTGCACACCAACACACATACACACCGTGCACACAAGACACACACACACCGTGCACACCAACACACACACACCGTGCACACCAACACACACACACACCGTGCACACCAACACACACACCGTGCACACCAACACACACACACCGTGCGCACTAACACACACACACCGTGCACACAAAGAAACACAACTACAGTACTGTATACACACACACACCAATACATGCACACACATAAGACCACAAGTATATGAACACACACACTTGAATATACGCACGCGCACACACCACAACACGCACACACACCCCGCTGACACACACACCACGAACACACACACCACGAACACACACACACCACGAACACACACCACGAACACACACACCCCGCTGACACACCACGAACACACACACACCACGAACACACACACACACCACGAACACACACACCACAACACGCATACACACCCCGCTGACACACCACGAACACACACACACCACGAACACACACACCACGGACACACACACACCACGAACCCACACCCCACGGGGCCGCTCTCTCACCGCTTTCCTCGGTCGCGTCTCCTGTCGTCTCCCGGCTCCTCGCTCCAAAATCCCTCCCCACCCTCTCGTAGCGGCAGAGCTCCCAGCACGTCTACAGCCAGAGTGCCACGCGCGGCACCACCGCCACCTACAACCACTACTCACACAACCGCCGCGACTAAAGGCCACAGGGATAGAGACCCTGGGCTGCTGTTGTGTCGCGAGCCGGGCGCGGGATGAACCGCGGGGGGCGATGGAGGAGGAGGGGGGCAGCCGCCCTCTGCCTCAGTTCGCACAGCGGCTGACCCGGGGCTCTGCGAGTCTCTCACCGTGGCCCCGAGACTCTGAGCTGGAGCTGGGAGTGCATTGCATCACCGCTCAGCTCGCTCGGCCCGCTCCCAGAGCCCGGCTAGCTGGCAGGCGATGCGAGCATTCGGCGGAAGGCTCCCTCCATCCTCTCTCGAGCCTCCCTCCCTCCCGTCCTCCCCTCCCTCCCTCGCCTCTCCCTCCCTCGCCTCTCTCACACGGGCGAGCGCGAGATAGAGAGGGCGGCAGGAACCCACCGCTATCTTGATCCGGCGAGGAACCGCCTACCCCTCGCCTCTCCCCCGTCCGCCCTCTCTCTCTCTGCCTCTCGCCCGTCTCGCTTCCTTCCACAGACGCAGCAGCCTCCTCCTGCTGCCCTGCGCGCTGCCACACGGCCGAACTGTCACCCCCCCCCAACCCGAACCCCACCCCGGGCCAAGAGCGCTTCTGAAAATACCGAAGGCGCGGGCGGTGTTCTGCACCAGCGCCGCTGCCGCCGCCCTCTCCTCCACACTCGGGAAACAAAGACAAAGGTTTAGTAGACTCGTGTAGACTCTGACTGCTGGGGCAAGGGCTGTCCGCGAGTACCTTGCGTGGCGAGGTCAAGCAACCACGCCCGGACGCCTTTGTTTCCCCAGCGCTGTTGTGTACACACGACGAACTAGGTACTGTACTCGCTTAAGGCTGAGTTGATCTTGGGGAGGTACAGGGCCGTGGCCGGCAATCGAACAAAGATGAGTTCGTCAACCGCTGCACCACCGCTCCACACACGCACACATTACCGCGAGACAATATGCACACGCATCACTCCCACAGCACACACACACACAGGGCTGGCTGATGTACTTAACGCATCTCCTACTCCAGAAAGAGTGGGGTGGGTGAAACTCGCATAGAATGTAGTGGAGTCCATGCTTATGACCAGAACCGCGATACTCCAGAAATGATTGCGTGGAGGAGCTCACACGGAGCGCCCCACGGCTCACACAGAGCGGTCCGGAGAGAGCCACTCTCCTCCCGCGCACACCACGATCAGCCCCTCCTCTACCTCGCACAACACCCCCCCCTCCCCTAGGGTAGCCAGCACCACGCCCGGCCGCCTTTGTCTCCCCAATGGCGATGTTTACACACCGCACCAGGTTCTCGCTTGAGGCTGAGTCGACCTAGAGGAGGCCCACGACCGGTTTTGATAATCGTCACCGGTGTTGGCCGTGAGCGGGACTCGAACTCGCGTGGCCGAGTTTGCAGTGCAGCGCCACGCTAAACCGCTACGCCACCGCTCCCCACAAATACCTTACACAAAGAGAGAGAGACTGTGACACCACCAACCCCACCGCTCACCCTGCACGCACGAACTGCCACATCACCTCTGACCCACACCGCGTTTGTGCCCTCTCCGGCCCTCACCGCCCAGCTCGCTCTCTCTGAAGGAGCTGCCGCGTGTTAGTGGAGTCGACCACGCGCACGGGAGTCGGCGCACAGCCTTGCATTGTCGGGAAGGACAGTACTGGATGATGTCATTCAATGTGACTTGAAAATGCAAAAAAGAAAAGTGCTGCCATAAGTATAAGGGAGAGTGGTGGCGAAGTGGTTTGTGCACTGCGCTGTGGACCCGGACATCCGTTAACCAGCAATGACCATCGTGGTGAAGTATGGTCAAACAACCCCATACGACCACACCTTGGGGAGGCCTTCGTCCAGCAGTACATGAAGAGCTATAAAATAAACACCTCTGAAGGTGCTGACAATGGAACGGTGGGCCCACGTGATCTGAACATTGTAAACACAGCGCTGCAAGCAAACACTGAAGAGGCCACGCGTTGCGGGATCGATCGAGCCTCCCCAACTAGCCGGATCCCTGACCTCGTAGCCCACCAGCTGGGACTAGCCCTGCCACTGACTCTACCCCTCACCATAACCAACCGACTAGCCAAGACTAACGGGCATGTCACTGACCCCTCCGCATCCCCCTAATCCCAGCGTTCGTCATTGCCAGGCCCGCGGGCCTCTGGTGGCCATTCGTGCGGCCCCGATGTACGGCCCCGACATTACACAACGAGTGGAAACACCTCCCCCATCAGCGTCCTGCTGTCAATCCCCAATGGTTTTAAATGCGTGGCGGTCCTCACACCGATGATGTCTTCTCGGCAAAAGTGCCCCCCGCCACCACCTCTGAAAATGAGTGAAGACCACTCACTGCCTGATCCCCCCAGTTTTGCAGACTCCCCGGCGCACGACACGTTCGAGCTGCCCGTTCTGTCCACTCCGCGTGTTGTTTTCACCGAGCCCGCTTCGCGGATAGGGGAGGGGGACGGGGTCAGGAGGCGAGTTGCGACAGAGAACATTCCTGAGCCCGGCCGGTATGGCCTCCGGGTATCTTTAAAAAAAAAATCCTTCCACCTCTCTTTCTCTCTATTGCGCAATATCGTCTCTTTTATACGCCACTACAGGTGTATAGAACACACACGCACAGCACGTACACCCCGTCTTCGCTCTCGGTGGGGGGCTTGGGAAAGGACAACAGGGCGAGTTGTGTGATGTGTGTGCACCACTCTGTGTTGTTCTTGGCCGTATTCAGTCAATAGCCATCACAGTCAGTTGTCCGGTAACACCCAGATAGACCACGGGTCTAGCCGGGTCCAGCCGTGACCTCCTGCCACCAGCGTGCCTTCGACGCTTCAAGCGACGGCCTCAACGTGCACCTAGCCTGGCATGACTACCCGCGGGCCGACGTCAGCGTCGCTTCGTGGCGAATGGCGGCTGTTGTTGTGGCTGACTGAGCGGGTTCACTTGACCGATCAGCTCGGCACATCTCCGATATGTTTTCATGACCCATTGTCTATTGTGGGCGGGTTGATTGACATGGGTGGCAGTGTCTAGCAGAGGTGATTGTCTCTGGCCAATGTTACTCCGGAAGGAGGGTACTGGCGTGGGCCCTGCACCACCAAATGTCCCATTGCCCCCCGCCCCCCCCCCCTCAAGTTCACTCTCTTCCTCAGTGGTGAATCAACGTGATGGTGCCCCCCCCCCCCCCCCCCCACATAGCAGCTCCACTGCCCCCCCCCCACTCCAATTCGTGAAGAGCCGGAGCCAGGCCTGCAATCTGGCTTGACTTTTTGAAAGTCATTCTGCAATTGTACATTTGTCCATAAGTGATGCATTACTTTTGCTATTTACGGTACATTTACAGCCACGCCGTGTTATGCAATTCAGAAATATGTCGTTTATTATAGACGTTGGCTCGATTGTTAACATCGCTGGATTGTGAGAGGTGACGGCGGCTTGGGGAGGCCTTCATCCAGCAGTGGATTGACCACGGCTCATGATGATGATTAGAGACGAGTGTGACTGACGTCAACTCTAATGATGACTAGAAAGCTCATACTTGCCACATATATGGCCAGGTCTTTGCTTACAATTAGACAACGCTGGAAACCTTAATGTTTGAATTTGACCTTAAGAAATGATGGCTTAGAGATGGAATAGGTTAATTCATAAGATATTAACATTTAAAAGTTCTACATTGCTTTTTTTAAACACTTACAAACACGTAACCTCAATCATCGGTGAACCAGATAAATTGCTTCCCGTGGGGTGTGACGCTAAAGCTGAGGATGTCAATCGGATGTCGAGGCGTTTTCATTGCAGTCCTATATCCATTTACTGTGCAAGATGCATGAACACGCACACGCTACATAAACGCGATATAAAAGATTATCGTTATCAAAATGGATTGGTTTCACTTGTGATCGATATTTGACCTCCAACTGTGTTTCTGTAAAAACAATGACAAGCTAAAGGCGCAGCCCTGCAATGCCTTACTCACACCCCTGCTGGCAGCAGACGGGCCTCAACCACAGTGACATCCACTGGGCCCCGCTACAGGGTGTTTGGCCTACTCTTCCACGCTGGCCGGACATCACGGAAGTGTTGGCAAATACCCACGCTTGACCAATGGCCTGCGATGTACCCACCCCATCCGTGCTGCTGGGTAGACAGAGCTCGGAGGGTTTTACGAACCTGCCCTTTGCGTTAACTACCGCGCCGCGAGATGGAATCGAACCGGTGGCCTCTGGATTGCAAGTGCGGTGCACTGACCGTTCCACTGGGGCTCGGCTCCAACCGCGGTAACCTTGGGGTAAGCCCTGGGACGCGGATGGAAATGAACCGATGACCACTTACACGACGCCGGTTGATGTACACACGGAAGGAGGGCAAATTCGCAACAACACCAAAAAATAGATTGCCGCATCTCATTAAAACAAATTAAACAATTAACAAGCAACGCGTGTGTGGGATTTAAAATGTCCACACCTCATCCATTGTAGCTGTCCGCTCATTAATTAACATCCGCAACAGGCAGGAATATAAACCAGTATTTATAGGAGTGAAATATAATTTGGAAGAACCAAGGCATTTGCCTCTTCGGAGGATATTTCAATGCGGTTGTGTTGGCATTGTATTCGGAGCTGAATAACCGCATCCCGTGAAGTATTGGGAAGTAATTTCTGTAGGTGAAATAATAATGAATACAGATGACGATTGCAAAATGATGTGTCGCTAATGACAAGCAACACCTGAATGAAAGATGTTGTAATCGATATTTAAGCTTCTCTCGCTGAGCCGGGATCAATATTTCTCTCTATATAACACGAACCAGAGCAGTAACGTCAATACGTTGCTCTGGGAATGGCAGGACATTGAATTTGGCAAAATAGCGGTCACACTGCGCAGCCACTCTGGGGTTCTGTGCAATGCCACTCTGAACCATTATTGCTGTGTTTTGCTGAATTGTTAGATTTACCATGGAGCCTTAGGAGTTGACAATTTTAAAACTGGCTGTGCCCCTTTGTAGTTATCATGTGTGCTCGTGTTGGTCAGTCATGGGATTGGGGGGGGGCTTGTTTGACCATACTTTACCATCCCAGTAAAGATGCTCACGTTGGGCCTACGTTGGCATGTGGCTGTATGCACTGGACCAAAGTTCCATGTTTACCGGTACTCTGGTGAGTGGGATTCGGCCAAATCCAGCCGCTCCTCAAGTCCTGTCGCCGTGTTTACATAACAGGGGCATAAACAAACTAGACACGTGTTAACAACATGAGTATCGATACTATCTGTCTTTGTTTGTCATGTATTCTGATGTACCTCTCACCCTCTGTGTATCTGAGGAAAGGCTGCAAATCCAATTCCTTAATTGTGCTCATTTGTACCGCCGTCTTAGCTGACTCTAGAGTCAGCTAAGACGGTGAAGGCTGAGACTCTAGTCAGCTAAGACGGTGAAGGCTGAGACTCTAGAGTCAGCTAAGATGGTGAAGGCTGAGGCTCTAGTCAGCTAAGACGGTGAAGGCTGAGACTCTAGAGTCAGCTAAGATGGGGAAGGCTGAGACTCTAGAGTCAGCTAAGATGGTGAAGGCTGAGACGCTAGTCAGCTAAGACGGTGAAGGCTGAGACTCTAGAGTCAGCTAAGATGGTGAAGGCTGAGACTCTAGTCAGCTAAGACGGTGAAGGCTGAGACGCTAGTCAGCTAAGACGGTGAAGGCTGAGACTCTAGAGTCAGCTAAGATGGTGAAGGCTGAGACTCTAGAGTCAGCTAAGACGGGGAAGGCTGAGACTCTAGTCAGGTAAGACGGTGAAGGCTGAGACTCTAGTCAGCTAAGACGGGGAAGGCTGAGACTCTAGTCAGGTCAAACGGGGAAGGCTGAGACTCTAGAGTCAGCTAAGACGGTGAAGGCTGAGACTCTAGTCAGCTAAGACGGTGAAGGCTGAGACTCTAGCCAGGTAAGACGGGGAAGGCTGAGACTCTAGAGTCAGCTAAGATGGTGAAGGCTGAGACTCTAGTCAGCTAAGACGGTGAAGGCTGAGACGCTAGTCAGCTAAGACGGTGAAGGCTGAGACTCTAGAGTCAGCTAAGATGGTGAAGGCTGAGACTCTAGAGTCAGCTAAGACGGGGAAGGCTGAGACTCTAGTCAGGTAAGACGGTGAAGGCTGAGACTCTAGTCAGCTAAGACGGGGAAGGCTGAGACTCTAGT